TATATATATATTTAAATACTCTCTTTTTATTTTTTGGAAACTCCCCTTAGAAGCCTAAATTGCATTGCAAACTCTTTTGTAGGTTGAAGATTTCCCACTTAATAAACTCATTGAAATTTCTGCCCCCAAAGTACCGTGATCTGAATTACTTAATAACATTTCATCAATAAGGATGTGAGCCTGGCCATATTGCATCAGACCAAGGTGTTCTCTGTCTTCAAATCCTGTGTCTGGTATTAGTAACTGATACTGTAAAACTTCTCCCCCACCCCCCAGAAAACACAACAGAGGAAGCATGGAGTGAGTAGGAAACAGGGCAATCCTCCAGGCTTGAGGATTGTCTATTTCTGATGAGTGCTCTCCCTTTTACCTTCTATTCTCTCATCTTCTGTGCCTTTGATATTACCCACTCCTACACCAGTATCTGTACTGCAGTCTCTTCTCATATAAGGAGCCTGTATTGCTTTGATGGTGAATATTTTTATTATTCTCTGTGTTGTCTCTCTAGCTCACTTATTAAAAAACTCACCCTGTTCTGTAGTGCTGTTAATTTACAAGGTGCTTTACAAACACTGATAAAGGCCATCCAAGGCTCTACTCTAAATAAGACGAGACAAATGAAAGATGAAGCACTTAAAGGCTATTCAGGAAAGTGAGGACATGGAAATGACTTATGCAAAGAGGAGAGGGGTTTTGTGAAGTGGGGTTTCTGAGAAAGGGTTTTAGACAGGGCAGAGAGTAAGTTCCCCAGTGGAGAAAAATAGTCAGGTGCAAGGAGCAGTGGAAGTACTAAATGAAATTAGGAGCAAGGAAAGGAGAGGAAGGGAAAAATAAACTCGAAGAAATAGGGAACAGTGAGTTGTGAGGAAATCCACTTAACAGGAAAGCAACAAAATAGAGTATCACAGGTTTCTTCAAAATGGTCTGGGACAGAACTTGAGAAATCCTTATAGTTTGTTGAGTTTGTTTGTTTTTTTAGCAGAACTTGGCTGTCTATGACAGCTTTTCAGTCTACTTTGTTCTTACCCCACATGCAATGATAAACAGGAAGCAGTGCTTTTGTGTTGTGTTAGAAAGTTTTTGCCTACTATTTAAGATAAGTCTCCCTTGCACTAAATACTATCCAGTCCATTGTGTCCATTTATGAATGAAAGAATTAAGTATAAAACCTAATGCATGAGAGGAAGCCAAAGGAAGGAGGGGTGTGCTCTGTTTCTCTATTTCTCCTTGTCTAATCCATCTAATTGACTACTCCAATCTCCTTTTCACTCTATGGCTTTGTAAAGGCCAGGGAAGATAGATTGAAAAATTGACTTGTTATGATGAACTAATCTGTATTAGGAAGAGTAGGATAAACTCAGGGAATAACTCAGAGTCTGCAGGATGCTTTGCCCCTTGGTCTTCATGGGGTGTTTGAGAGACTCAGTATCTTGTATGAACTGGCTTTTTCTTTATGCGCTGGTGTTTTGGTTTGTTCTCCATCTCTTATCTCTGCAATTAATAGGCCAGCACCAAGTCAAGCAAGGGACATGTGAAGTTGTGGCAGTGCATCGTTGCTGCAATAAGAACCGTATTGAAGAACGCTCACAAACTGTCAAGTGTTCCTGCTTCCCGGGGCAGGTGGCAGGTACAACAAGGGCTCAGCCCTCGTGCGTGGAAGGTAAGCAGTCTCCCGCTCACTCATGGTTCATTAAGATTGTTTGAGAGTTTATTCTCCTTGATTGTTTGACTTTCCACTGCCTCAAAAGCGTAATCCTTCCTTTTGTTAATTTTGGAAACGTCTCTGTACATTGATGATAATGAGTCTGTGCATAAATCTCAGTGTAATTAATCCTCTTAATATATGTACTCATCTATTTCATGTCTGTGCCAATAAAACTTAATTTTTTCACACAAGAATTCTCCTTTAAAACTAGTCTGAGAACAGCATAAACCAAGAAATTCAAGCTTATATTATTAACTCCTCCAGATGTCTTTTGACTTAGCAACTTGGCTTGAAATTCACCGGATAATAAATGCAGCCCTAAGTCTGAGCACGCAGATAGTGCTGGAACATCTGAGTTTGAGAGCTGTTCTCTAGACGAATGTTTCACCATTTTATGTGCTCGATGGTCTCTTATGCTGGCACCAGTGCTACAATGATGCCCAGTGTCTATTCAGTTTCATGTTTTGTTACCCCAAATATTTTAGTATAAAATGCTGCACAGGACACAGTGTCTGAGCTAGGACACCTGCTGATGAAGGAAAAATCTGGTACAGTTGTCTTAGTCCATCACCTTCCTGAGTGATGGACTCCAGATGGACTCCTCACAGAGCTCAAGGTTGGCATCCTTATGCTTTTAGCAGTATAACTCATTTGAAAGTAAATTGATTATACACACCAAAGCCAAAATCTTACCTTGATCGTAATGTTGACCAGGCATTCTGAGGCTATCTAAAACTTACCTCCTTGAGGTTCACTCTACACCTCACCCTGCTGTTTTCCTCTCTGGCTTACCAGAAGTTCAGAAACTGGGTTACCCTTCTTCCTTTTCCACCAGCGGAGTCTATTCCCTGGAGAGGCTGCTGATCTTGTTGTTCACTTAGTAAACACATTACTGGATCCCCTATTTCATTAATTCAAAGCAAGACCCTTCTGTTTTCATTCTTTTTCACACAAAATTGCAATCATTTCAAGTTAAATATAAAAGAAAAACATTCAGAGATATTTAGCTTTAAACATAAAACTCTAAATACATGTGATGTCTGATTTATATTTTTTTTTATCTTTTTTAAACCTATTACCTGTTCTAAGAACCTCTTGTTTAAGAATGGATTTTTAAAATTATTATTATTGTTTAGATGCTTAGTCTTTTCATGCCTTGTAATTCAGGGACACAATCAGCTTTAACTGCAATTTGTTAAGTAGTTTTCTTGTCAGATCAGACATACCTTCTGTGTTTTTTAGGTGACACGTCAAGCAGCAGAAATACTTTTGCATACACGGATAATGAAAGTCATGCATTGTTTTAAACTTGCTTAAGGATTGCAAAGGTGACACTCATTCTATGATAGAAAGATATAAATGTACAATATCTTGAAGCGTAATTCAGTCAACGCAAATAGTTGCTCAAAGAATTTAGTAGCTGTTTTTTCTTCAAGTGTAGTTGAAATTAAATGCAACAAAATATTATGAATGTAAGATTTTGGTTTCTAAAGCAGAAGCCTTTGATTCCCCCTCAGACCTTAGGGTAATGCTCTAGCACACTTTGCTTATTTTTGCAAGTAGCTGGGACTACAGTCCATTGCTGTAGCACAGAAATGATAAATATCTTTCCTTAGCCTCAGGATTAGATGTGTTTTCTCCCGCTTTGTACATATCCTTCAGTAGACTTCTACACTGTGGAAGCCAGAAACACAGTTGATGTCTTGAATTTGCATATTTCAGTCTTATACAGACATTTTATTTTCTTTTCCAGCTCTTTTTTATTGAACGTAGGGCTGTTTAATTTGCGTATATTTTGCCCTGAGCTTAAAGAGAACAGCATGCCCAAAGCACAGAGTTACTTCTCCAGCCAAAAGAAAAGATTTTATAAAGCAATTGACTTGTAGCAGTCTTTCAGAGTATTTTCTTTGAGCTTCAGACCTCATCTAGTTGTAGTTATCATTTGCAGTAGGGCAGCAATTTTTTCTGTGCTGTTGATCAGGCACGGCATGTATGTGGTGGTTGGTATTTACAGTTCCTACACAGAATCATAGAATGTCTCTAGTTGGAAGGGACCCAAAAGATCCCTTTTTTTAGTTTAGTTGGGTATTTCCCCTTAATTTTCTCTGTCTTGAAGCATATGGGTTTCCTGACCTAAATCCCCCCGGCTTTCAGCGACAGCTTGTTTGTTAATTTAGGTGGGGTAAAGCCTAGTTCATCAAGCAGAGCTCCTTGTTGATGAGCATTGGGCATTGTAGCCTTTTGTATGTATAGGCCATGAAAAAGGCTTTTAAAGCCCATCATCATGGTTTTTAGTGTACAGCCATAGGCCAGCTGGATATTTACATTGTGGAATAGGTTGACAGATGCCAAAGAATTTTACATAAGGTCAGATTTAAAGCAGCATTTTATTGGAGCAGCACTGTATATAATGCTAAGCCCAGCTCAAAGAGGTAGTGAATGTATGTACCAATATTCATAGCTACCTAAATTTCAGGAAGATCTCTTATTTGAGCCAAATCAGAATGGATTTTTGCATAATTCCATTTGGATATTCACCTACAGATAGCAGTGACATTTTTTCTCAAGATAGGTGCTATGGAAGAAATTAAATACTTGTGTTGCAGAAGAAATGATAAATATCCAGGTGAGTTCCAAGGGAAAGGTGTTGAACTGGTACAGAAAGGAAAATAAAAGCATAAAAGCTAGTTAAAACTTGCAAATACATGAAGTGAAAGTCTTAACTGTCTTGATTGCTCCAAGTCAGTCCTTTTCCATGTTGTGCAATAATACTGTGTTGTGGGGCCTAACTGGCATTTATAGAGTGCTTTGCATTTCTGCAGCGCCTTTCATCTAGGAAACTTTAAATATTGGCAGTAGGGGAAGTCAAAGTACTTCATTTAAAAAGGGTACGGAGGTGAAAATCGATGTTTGTTATAGACTGAGATCTTCCTAGCATTTTTACAAGCACAGTAAAATCACTCACTGTAGCCTAGATGAGAGAACATGGCAAGAAGTCTTTGAATATTCAGGATATTTTTTCTTTATCTTTTGCCCATGTTAACACACTTGCTTAGATAACTGCATTTTGAATGCATCCAAATAGCGATTCTGTCATTTGTGTATTTCAACTTAGTTGTGAAAGCTATTGACAAGCATTGGCAAACAAAAAAAGCACAGCTAGTTCTTCTGTACGCATGCACACCTCATTTTCCTGTGGGTTATTTGAGTTCCCAAGCACAGGCCCATCTGATACTTTGAGAAATTATGCTGTAGATAAATTGAGCCATCAGATTCAGAAAAAAGCAAAGCATACAAAAAGAAGTATTTAAATATGCAGAGAGGGCAGACCACACAGCCTGTATACCCTGCCTTGAGTTGTAGCTATACTGTTTGATTGCAGCTATAGAAAATCTTGTTTAGCAAAGGTCAACCCACTCTTCTGTCAATGAGTAAATTACTTTGAAAATAGTCATGAGATTTTGTTTATACCCATTTTGTTCATACTCATTTTCTTTATGGAAATAAACATCCCTGAGTAAGTACCTCCAGCTTGTCTAACAGCTACTGCCAAGGAGATAAAACATTAATAACTTGTGTCTGTAGAGTAGCTATCTTAGCTAAGTGCGTTAAATGCCTCTAAGTAAATCATCACTAGCCAAATCATCTTCCATCCAGGCAATTCTATTAGCCCTAGAATTTATGAGGAGGAAACACACAGATTGGAAGAAAATGTGAATAGAACTAAAGAATTGTTTAAGAATTTTCTGTAAAGCCAAAGAGCTGCAATCAAGTAAAAAGACAATTTTGGCTGAAAGCCCATCTGTGTTATAAACTGAAAGGGAGAGAGCATATAGAAACAAGAACACCAAAATCCAATACGTAAGAAATAGATAAGAGAAGAAATAGCCAAGAAGATTTCTCTCCTGCTGTTTTTGAATGGTTTTCAGAATACTTGGGGACCATGCTAATGGCATGTCAGTATTCAAAGAATAAAAGGAAATAGACAGTAGAATGCATAGTGTACTGAAAATTTTTATGGAAGAAAGCTTACACAGTGGATCAGGCAAGACATCTGTATTTGTCCACACTAAAGACAGTATGAATTTGGTTGTTCAAGTAGAACACATAGAAACCCTTATAAAAAAAAATATTGCCCATAATGCATGAAATATTGGTATTGTTAATGCTGAGGCATATCAGTATCTCAGTTCTTTTGCTAAGTTAACAGGATGGGGTGGTATTTTCTAACTTATTGTTAACTGAAGAGGGTGTTAACCAACATCTACTAGTATTAAACTTCTTTCCCCGTTCTGACCCTGAGTACTTCAGAGTCCTGACAAACTGGCTGGTAGGTCTCTGATCAGTTGTTGTACTTCAAACTGTATTTCAGAATACTTGGGAGTATTCTAGATGAATACTAGTGCTGTGTCAGTTTTGAGAGTGTAGGCAGCCAGGTCTAGACACTTAGGGACAGCTGAGACTGATCTCAATCCTGTGCGGGTAACTGAGAAGCTGATGTGGCATCCAATGAGCAAGAAATTCCTGGAGTAGAGATCACAAGAGTTTATGTAGCTTTCTGCAAAGAGATTTGCGAGACCCAACTGATTTCATTTTCTGAGGAGTTCTCAAGATTAATATAGATAGTTTTGGGGTTTAAAACACTTAAGCCCAGTTTTTTCCAATTTACTTTGGAAGATAATGTAAAATTTATTTAATGAAAGGTTTGGTTACTAAATACATTTAAGGATGTAAATCTTGTTTTTCGGTAAGATATTTAATTTTGAACAATATACCATTGTATGCACTGTTCAGTTTGGCATACCTCAAAAACACTTCTCTTAGTGTCATCAGTAGGAAGTGGTAGTCAAACGGCCCATACCTACTGGGATTTCACAATGCTTAGCTCTGCACCTGACACTGCAGTATTTTCAGCAGTGGCATGAAAACAAATACAGAATCTCACCTGACAAAACACATGTACGGGCTTCATCTGGTGGGGCAAAGGAGTAAACTAATGATAAGCTCAAGGCAGTCAAGTGGCATAGTCCTACTCACAGGAAGCAGAACCTTTTTGAAATGACTGTATTAATAAAGACAAATGAATTGTGGTGTGAAACTGAAGAAGTTCAATCAACTCAGCTTATCAGGCAGAAGATTGAAAAGTTACTGGATTGCAGCACATTTAATACCTTCGCATAGAGAAAATTATGATTGCTAACAGGTGCTGTAATGTAAGAGTAGAAAGTATGACAGAAGAGGTGGGAAGAAGAAGAAAACTAAGGCTGTGTGTTTTCATGCTGAGATCATTTAACTGTCAGAAAGAATTACAGTGGGAGAAGTTTCTCTCTTCACCTGTTCCAGACTGGGTGTAGCCAAACACAACTGGGTGCAGAACACAGTGAATTGTGTGAGGCAAGATGAGATGATGGATTGACACCTTACTCTATGAACCTACTCTTTTCCATGGTGTCATGTTATCTAGGGAGTGTTGTCAGAAGAAGATTTATTTCTTCTAGGGTTTCTGGCTGTTTTCTGACTGCTTTCCAGCAAATCAGCTGGCTAATGTCAAACTAAAGCATTCTCCCTCCATACGGGTGGTTGTGTATGAGGGTGACATAGCTGTTCTCATTTCTTAGAAAAGCCACCAGTTTAAACCCCTCCAAGAGTGCCTCTACCTGAAAAGAGGATGAAACTTTTATATCCTCCAGTGACTTGCACAGGGACAATGATAGTCAAAGAAGACTAGCTCTGAAGATAAGCCTAAATGGCTTTGATGGAGAATTTTAATGGACTAATCTCAGGAGTACATTCTACACAAATAACTGCTGCCTGTTAGGACGTACAGATCAGCAGAGTTGACATTACAACCGCAAAGAAATTGGACATAAAATGGATGTAAGAATTAGTAGATTCTAGATGCCTGTGGGAGACAGGGGAGCAAGAAGTGATTCTCAAGGTCTGAAGCTGAACTTTTGTTGTTAAGGTAGCATTAAATACATGAAAACATGTTCACATGTCAGAGTGCAGGTGAAGCCTCAGCATGTCACCACATCCACACTCACAGCAGCACTCTAGAGAGCTGTTGTAACGCAGTAACTGGGCCTCCAAGGAGCACTCGCTGGCTTTGAAGCAGAGCTCTGAAGATACACGTAACTTGCTATCAGAATCTCCTGCTTGCTTAGGGACCTCTTCACATGCCCTCAGTCTTCTTGAATCTGGCCTTCTAGACTTGTTCTTGTTTACCTGAAATAAATGTGCTGTAGAAATCGACAAAAATTTAGAAAGTAGCAGAAATAAAATAGATGACTAGCCCATATATCTGGAGCAGAAATGATCCCTCACCTCCTAGGAAGCAGAGTCAAGTTTCACATGTTTTGTCAACAATCAATCAGCATCAATGATCTAAGAACCAAATGGCTGGTGAAAGGAGTTATACATTTATTTTATATGTTTCTGAAGTTAAAGAATAGTTTAGAAGAGCCAAACTGGTATTCCAGAAATACATTTTTCATAGTGCTTTTCACGTAAGCTTAGAGTGAAAGTGTAAAATGAAAGTAATTGAATGAACATTTCAGCAATATCTTGATGTCAGCTTGCCTGCTTGTCACCCTAATTTAAAGGTCGCAGAAGTATGAATCTGCCTTGAAATTAAAAGGAAAATAAGTGCTTTACAAGCAGTAGACTAAATTATTTTTGTTCATCTCTTTTGGATGTGGTAGCTTTTAAAGCGTGCGATTCAGTATTTCGTGCACATAGTAGCACAATGCAGACTAACTAAATCAAGATTTTAAGCCATATTTTATTTTGAAATCCAATTTAGATTATGTGAGATTGTGAGCTGATATATCTCATAGTAATTTGCTGCTATTTGAGGACTCTCATGAGCAATGCAAAGCAGAAATTCATGCAGATGTTTGCAGCTGTTTGTGGGTAAGTATATCTGTTGTTAGCAGTATTATAAAGTCATGACTACATTTGTAGAAATAACAGCTATGGTGTTCTTAATGGCAACTGGTGGTTTAAAGGTAGAAAATTAATAAATTTGCACATTTGAGATGTACTACTGTAGTCTTCCAAAACAAACTGCAAAACTGACAGTGGAACTGCAAGGAGATTTTTAGTTAATAATCTAAAGCTTTCCAGGGGTTTCCACATTCTTATCTGCACTATTAGCTGACAGGCCTCACATGCTTACATCTCTGTGCAATTCTATTTTCTCTCCCAGTGAAGGGAGAAACTGGCATTTCTTTGTCCAGTCTTGCATACGCATATCCAGGTTAAACAAGAAGCTTTAGCTTCATTCTGCCTTATAGCAGGTACTTGACTGAAGCATGTAAATGAAGGAGGCAGGTCATCTTTGTAGTCAGTGGAGATGGAAAGGCATCTCCAGAGGTTAGTTCAAATGTTGGAGTCAGTCTCTTGTGCTTGCCTGTCTCCACCATCTACATATGGAATTTACCCTCCTGTGTGCTGGTGAAGTTTTTAGCCCCATTTTTAGCTCAACTGCATTCAGTGCAATTAACTATTAAAACAATAACTAGTGGTTCTACCTTTTGAAATCAAACAATTGAACACTGCATCATAACCTCCTTACTGAACCAACAGTAATTAAAAAAAAGATTATGTTCTGTTTCTCTTTCCTATTTCTTTTCCTAGCTTCCATTGTCCTACAGAAGTGGTGGTGTCATATGAACCCTTGTTTGGATGGAGAGGACTGTAAAGTACTACCAGACTATTCAGGTTGGTCTTGCAGCAGTGGAAATAAAGTCAAAACCACAAAGGCAAGTACAGAGATCGCCTATATTTAAAGGTGGCAGTCTGCTAAGAGCACTTATTGCATTGCATCTGTGGGTGTGAGCACCAGCACTGGACTCAGTTGTTCTTGGAGAGGGAAATGTTGTGTCAGGACTTCCAATTCACTGCCAGCCTAGTGAAGTTATTGGGTGCTGGAGACAAACTGAAGAAGGCCCTTTTCCAGTCTTTAGTGAGCAAAGAAACTACTCCATTGCAACCAGTGCTAGAGGAATAACTGTGTTCTGGGATCAGTTCTTCAATTTGCAGCCTGTGTGCACGGATCCAAGGTCTTTACCAGTGTCATCTGAAGTTAGAATCCTTTGCTACTGGAAAGTTCTTTTACCTTTTGAAAGCAGCAGTCTGTCTTAGGAGTTACTGAGAATTTGCACTGACATCAGTGGGAACTGTGGGACACTTAGCACCACTGGAAATCAGGCTGGGTTAGATCATTTCTAATTACAGGCCACCCTGTAGATGGCCTATTTCTTAAAAAAAACCCCTTTGCTATGCCATCCTATTTCTTAATTAATGGCGAGCAGGGAGAAAATATCATGTTCTCTGTCTGCTTAACAATCTGAAATGAATTCAGTGCACTGAAGTTCAACAAGTCATAGCAAAGTGCATATTGAAATATATCATAAAACAGAAGTCTTTATCAGGCAATAACAAGGAAAGACATATGCTTAGCTTTTCCCTTTACAGCCTCTTCTAGTTAGAAATGAGTGTTGTTGATTAGGTTACAGTCTGAATTAATAAGTGAATACTGACACCAAATGTTGTTTAATAAAGGTTGTTCTAAGGAGTGAAAACTATGCTAATTTTTGGAAGAAAGAGAAAATTGGATGGTTTGGGCAGTTGTGGTGTGATATGGGTGGTCTAAAGCCCTTCTACAGACACTGCACAGTGGCAGGCTTGCTGGAAAAGGCTGACCAAACCAATCAGTCTGAAAGCCCTATTCCTGTTTTTAAGTTCAGAGGGTTTGTTGCAAATCAGTATTATTTATCAAATGCCAAAGACGTAATCTATAGTGTGCCTAGATCCTTCTGTTCTCCTGTGATGGATTCTCCACCTGAAAGTTGACCTGCACACTCTAGAATCACTGTAGGTAACTGGCAGTCAGTTGTTGCAAGATCTAGATTACTCTTGGCCTTTACATTTTTTCATGGGCAATGACTTAGAACTATTCATATGGAGGTAAGAGATAGTGTTGTAGCATCACACTGACAGGTAAGACTGGCAAAGTAGGAGTTCTAGATGTTGAGTAAGACAACTTCACCTCTGGACATACCAGAAGAGAGATGGAAAAGAGTAAATCAGAGTTAAATATCCTTGGTGCTCTTCAATAGGTACCAGAGAGCTGAAGAGTAGAAGAATGAACTTCAGGTTGGCATTGGTGGCTGAAAGCTTGAGAAGAGTTGCCTTTCAGTTCGTTGAGGTCAACTGACCACACGAGTCATACAGTCTGTGTTCATGGCTCTTGCTCTTAAGCACTGAAAAGAGGCAGCCTGAGTCAGTGGGAGTTTACTAATAGAAGGGCAAATTTGACATGGATCATTTATTTTATTATCCATGACAAATATTGCAACCAGCAAACTACAGGATATGGTAATGCATTCTGATGAGTTTAGGGATGTCTTATAAAGCTAGAGTGGGACAAATCATCCTGCCTGCAATTAGCCCTGTGCAAATTCATCAACTCCAGTGAGTGTGTGTGGGTCTAACAGAGGGCAAAGTATAGCAATATGAGTGCAAATGTTGTTTCATTAAACTTTTCCTCTCCTTTGCTGGGATGTGGATTAATGCATTTTAGATTGATTTTTATTACTATAGGAGATTTTTTTCAGGGGCATTTAATTGAAAGGATAAGCAAACAACTGGCACTTGTGCTTAGTTGTGCATCATTCTACTGTATTACTGGCATGAAAACTGTTCATTTTCCTTGCATGGTTTTGTTTTCCTTTTAATGCCCTGTGTTCTAGATTTTTCATTTGAACATGGTAAGATAGGGCTGTTTCTGTTGTGAATGTGGTTAGCAACACAGTAAAAGAGATCCTGATTCTAATGGGGGTCTTGGAGGACTGCAACAGTATAAATATAGATATGAATAACAAAGTTAGTGGTTGAACATTACGTTGAAATGACACGAGAGGGTTGTAACCTTTAATTAGTGATTTGCCATGTTAGGAATGGGAACAGGCAGATTTCCTTAAAGGGTAGATCCCTTAAAAAGGTGTCTCAGTCCCTCCTTTCTTAATTATTCTTTACTAGAAATTCTTCCATTTTTTTTCTGTATGTGTTTTATGTGCAGATACTTTGGAGAAATAAATACTTTCATGCTTCTAAATACTGTAGTTTTGACCCCTAAAAGCTTTGTCCATGCATTTACCGAAATCGCTAGTAGGTGAACCATGAAAAGTTACTTTTAGGAGGTTGAGATTTATCATAGCTGTACCTTTAGCAGTACTGACATTTCTAAAGGCTGAGGACTTGTCATACTATCACCAAGTTGTTTTACTCGTGTAATTAGTTTCTAGTAATGAATCTCTTGAGAATCAGTCTGAAGTAATGAAGTTTGTCTTCTTTATTGGTCCAAGTGAGAAAGGACATGATTTGTCCAAGGTTTTGTGGGTGGGATTCACTGTGCCCAGCTGCAGGCATTTTTCCATCCAAGCTGAGTTATTTAGGATGCTCAAAAGTCACATGGGGAGAAACGGGTGATGGCTCAGCATGACTGCCCATCCACAGAAGTGTTCCCATGAGTACTTCCTTCTCTCCCCTGTACCTTAAGGAAGCCCTGGGTGACCACCTTACATGTAGATGTCTGCTTGCTAGACAGCTGTCTAGCAGACAGCTACAGAATCTGTCCTGGCATCCATATTTCTTCTGCAGGTATTTTCTCTGTCTTGTGGGTGGTTTTCTCTGTCTACCAAGATATAGATCTTGCACAAATATAATGAGTAATGGTAACCTTAGATTCTGAACAGAAGCTTGTAGTACAGGCAGTGCTGAACTGGAAGGAAAATAGAATGGAAAGAAAATTTCCATTTAAAAATGAACCAAAGATTTTTTCCAAACTCAGCTCAGTCAACAGAATATGTACTAAGTGCATTATTAAGACTTTACACAGACAACAGTATGAACTGTAAGACCAGTAGTTCAAACTGTACAGCAGCCTGTGTATTTCAGTGCTGGGATGCTTTAATCGGAAAGACACAGTGAAACCCTTGTGGACAATTACAGAAAATGTACACATACATGAAATTCTTCCAATTTAATAGTTGGCTTATGTCTAGAACATGAGTTGAGATCCATTCCATGTTCATTTTTTTTCTGTTATGTACCAAAGGTAATCTCGTTACCATTTAAATTTCTAATAAATTTTTAAAGCTGTCTAAGACCCTGGGATCAGTGCTGGTTGGGACAGTGACTTCTGCAAGTTAATTATGTACTGAAAGAGGAAATGCCATTTAATCAATTTGAAGTCCTGTATCTTTTAATTTTGTGAAAATATTAGAGTAACGTGAAGTATCTGAAGCACAGGAGGCTTTTGATGCTACTCAGTATTTAGACGAAGAGTTAGTAGCTGAGTGGGACAGTCATAAAAGCTGAAGAGTTTGTACCTTGCATTGGTTACCTCAGAGAAGGTAATAAAAACTTCTCTATGCTGAGTGTCTGTTTAGTTTAGTAACACATCTACAGAAGCTACAGAGCAGAGCTGACAAAGCTTTCCTCCTTGCAGGCTGACTATTCTCATCCATGTCCAGGATGGGAAAAATCTGACACGACTGCTCCTCACCATGCAGCCAAAGCCACTGGGTTCATGCACTGTGCGTGTGTATTAGGGTTTGCACATACATCCCTGAAGCGCTTGAGTGTCCATAAGGGGAAGAGACTGCAGGGTCCCATGGGAGAAGTGCTATCTGGGAGTGGCTTCTGCTGAACAGTTCTTTCCCCTGCAGACTGTTCTATCCGATTCCTAGGTCCCTGCTGTAAGATGGACCACCATGAATGGGTAACAGTTTACATGAATGGTCTTTTGGGATGTAAGTCATACACACTGGTGTTGAAAATGATGATAAGCAAAATCAAATAAAGATTGCCATGAGATGTTGGTGGCAAACCTTATAGTGAACAGCCATTTCTTTTTCTTCAGATCTCCCTTATACTACTGAATAGCATCTACATGTGTATATTCTGTTTCTCTGCAAGGTATATACATGTGGCTGAGACAGGTAAATTCATGATGTATTGATGTGTGCAGTTCCTTTGCAGCAACAAAGCATGTGTTATCATCCTTTGTTTGATCCATTCTGTGTAGGTAACTTTTCCCTCTTCTTTTATAGGTAACACGGTAGCAAAGAATAAACCTGTGGGTTATTACCAGAACAATGGCATGTGCAACTGTTGCTCAGCTGTTACACAGAGACCCTTTTTTGTCATGATGCTGTTGACTTAATTCTTTGAACTTGAGAATTTAGCCAGCAAAAAGGACAATACTTCTCCTTTCAACTGTGGCTGCAGTTCCTGGACTGGATTTTGTTATACAGAATGGCACATATTAATTTCACAAGGGAAAAAACAAGATTTGGTTCTACAAGAAATGCACTTTGGATTCCCAAGGATCTGACACTTGACAGAAATGCGTGGAAGCACACACCTCAACTTCTGTGGTGCCTCAAGGACAAGACTTTCTTAAAGACACTAAGATATGTAAACTTATTTTAAATGAGTTTAGATCATGAATGTAACCTAAGGGGTCATATAAAAAAAAATGCTTATGTTAAAACTGATTCAGATGATCTTATAGGTCTTTTTCAACCCAAATGATTCTATGGATTGTCTGAGGTACTTCTCACATACAGTATAAATAAAAATACAAAGCTGATCCTAATGCTAAATGAGTTGACAGGATAGTGCTAGTAGATTATGTCTTAGTGTATCTTCAACTGTGATTTAGTAACTATCAAGGTTGTATGAAGGTGGAAGGATGGAACTTATAAATCAGTAGCAATTA